CCAGAAAGTGTGTGTTTTTAGGATATCCTTTTGGGATAAAAGGGTACAAGCTTCTTGACCTTGAATCCAAAAGAACATTTATCTCAAGAGGTGTAGTGTTTTATGAAGACAAATTTCCTTACAAAGATGACAGTGCATCTGAAAATGCCAACATAAGATCATCACAACCTATCCTCGATGACATTGAAACAGAAAACCATATTCCTTTCTTTCCTACAAACAGTATTGATGAAGTAATGACAGGTAGAACTGAGATTGAGCGTGAAAATTCCCCTTCACTTCATGAGTCAGACAACTATCCTGTAAGGTCCCCCATCTCACCAAATTCTCAAGAAGTTGAAAAAGAATTGCCTGATGATATGATTATAGGTGATCAACCATCACGAAGGTCCTCAAGAATCAAGAAAGCTCCCACTTATCTTGAGGATTATATCTGTCAGCATGTCTCATTTCATCCATCACAAAAGTTGGACAAGGACAAAGGCCCTCACACTCCAGGTAATCTTTTTCCTCTCAAGGCTACCATATCAAATCACAGATTGTCAAATAATCACAAAGCATTCATAAGTTCCATAACCACACACGTTGAGCCTAACACATATCAGGAAGCATTAACCTCACCTGACTGGTGTAAAGCCATGAATGATGAAATTGCTGCTCTTGAGATGAATAACATATGGATTGTGACAGATTTACCTCCTAACAAGAAATCTATTGGGTGTAAATGGGTGTATAAGGTGAAGTATAGGGCAGATGGTAGTGTCAAAAAGTACAAAGCCAAACTTGTGGCAAAATGATATACACAGCAAGAGGGATTGGACTACCATGAAACGTTTTCACCTGTAGGAAAGATGGTGACCGTAAGGACATTACTAGGAGTTGCAGCTGTAAAAGGATGGCATTTACATCAATTTGACGTAAATAATGCATTCCTATATGGGGATCTAAATGAAGAAGTATACATGGAAATGCCACCTGGTCATCCTGCTGCAAAGCATTCAAAAGTATGCAGGCTATTAAAAGGTTTGTATGGGTTAAAACAAGCATCCCGACAATGGTACTCCAAGCTCTCAACCTTCATCATTGGACAAGGATTCACTCAGTCTAAGGCTGATTATAGTCCATTTACAAGGTCTATTGAGAGCTCTTTTACTGCCATTCTCGTGTATGTCGATGATATAATTGTGGCCAGTAATAGTATTGACATCATTAACTCTCTCAAGGCCTTACTGGATAGGAGATTCAAGATTAAAGATTTGGGCACATTGAAATATTTTTTGGGAATAGAGGTAGCAAGGTCTGATAAAGGTATTCATATTTGTCAACGAAAGTATGCTTTGGACATACTAGCAGACTCAGGAATGATAGGGTGCGTGCCAACAAAGATACCTTTAGATCAGAATATGAAGATTTCAAAGATGGATGGAGAGCCTCTTTTTGATCCAAGTATGTATAGGAGACTTGTTGGGAGATTGTTGTATTTGACCATCACCAGACCAGACCTCTCATACTTAGTACAA